ATTAGTGGCACAATGATGGCCAGCTAAGGCTTCCTTTCTCTTCTGAGAGAAAACAGATGTAGAATATAAGTTAAGACATTCTGCCTTACTGCCATCACCGTTACTAGTTCGCTCTTGCTACTGTATAGACTTTCTCCTTTTTCTTTTATTCCTGACATATCTGAAAAGTGTTTTTTGTTTTTGTTTTTTGGGGGGCATTTCTCACAAGCTTCAGCTCTTTCCTCATTAGGTTTTCTATCACAATCTGCAATTTCTGGCAACTGTTTTGTATCACTTTTCTGGCTGTAGTGCCTGACTTCATTTTCTATATATATATATATCCCTGTTTCCTTTTATCATTTTAGAAAGTTCTGTGTATATCTCCATTGTTTTCTTTAAATATACTCCATTTTTCCTTTTAGTATGAATTGTTTGAAGTATACCATCAGTATCTTGCTTTGCTCTTCTGAATCCAAATACGTATCTGCTCCCCTGTACAGTATACAGGTGAAACTTGAAAAATTAGAATATCGTGCAAAAGTTCATTTATTTCAGTAATGCAACTTAAAAGTTGAACCTAATATATGAGATAGACTCATTACATGCAAAGCAAGATAGTTCAAGCCGTGATTTGTCATAGTTGAGATGATTATGGCTTACAGCTCACGAAAACCCCAAATCCACAATCTCAGAAAATTAGAATATTGTGAAAAGGTTCAATATTCTAGGCTCAAAGTGTCCCACTCTAATCAGCTAATTAAGCCATAACACCTGCAAAGGGTTCCTGAGCCTTTAAATGGTCTCTCAGTCTGGTTCAGTAGGAATCACAATCATGGGAAAGACTGCTGACCTGACAGTTGTGCAGAAAACCATCATTGACACCCTCCATAAGGAGGGAAAGCCTCAAAAGGTAATTGCAAAAGAAGTTGGATGTTCCCAAAGTGCTGTATCAAAGCACATTAATAGAAAGTTATGTGGAAGGGAAAAGTGTGGAAGAAAAGGTGCACAAGCAGCAGGGATGACCACAGACTGGAGAGGATTGTCAAGAAAAGGCTATTCAAAAGTGTTAGGGACTTTCCCAAGGAGTGGACTGAGGATGGAGTCAGTGCATCAAGAGCCACCACACACAGACGGATCCTGGACATGGGCTTCAAATGTTGTATTCCTCTTGTCAAGCCGCTCCTGAACAACAAACGTCAGAAGTGTCTTACCTGGGCTAAAGAAAAACAGAACTGGTCTGTTGCTCAGTGGTCCAAAGTCCTCTTTTCTGATGAGAGCAAGTTTTGCATCTCATTTGGAAACCAAGGACCCAGAGTCTGGAGGAAGAATGGAGAGGCACACACTGCAAGATGCTTGAAGTCCAGTGTGAAGTTTCCACAGTCTGTGTTGATTTGGGGAACCATGTCATCTGCTGGTGTTGGTCCATTGTGCTTCATTAAGTCCAGGGTCAATGCAACCATCTACCAGGAGATTTTGGAGCACTTATGCTTCCTTCCGCAGAATGAGCTTTATGGAGATGCTGACTTCATTTTCCAGCAGGATTTGGCACCTGCCCACATTGCCAAAAGCACCAAAACCTGGTTCAATGACCGTGGGATTACTGTGCTTGATGGGCAGCAAACTCGCCTGACCTGAACCCCATAAAGAATCTATGGGGCATTGCCAGGAGAAAGATGGGAGACATGAGACCGAACAATGCAGAAGATCTGAAAGCCACTATTGAAGCATCCTGGTTTTCCATAACACCTTAGCAGTGTCACAGCCTGATAGCTTCCATGCCACACCACATTGAGGCAGTAATTGCTGCAGAAGGGGCCCAAACCAAGTACTGAGTATATATTCATGCTTATACATTTCAGAGGTCCGATATTGTTCTCTGTACAATCCTTGTTTTATTGATTGCATGTAATATTCTAATTTTCTGAGACTGTGGTTTTGGGGTTTTCATGAGCTGTAAGCCATTATCATCACAATTATGACAAATCACGGCTTGAACTATCTTGCTTTGCATGTAATGAGTCTATCTCATATATTAGTTTCACCTTTTAAGTTGCATTACTGAAATAAATGAACTTTTGTACGATATTCTAATTTTTCGAGTTTCACCTGTATTATGAATAACATGGTCCCTTTCTCCCAATGTTCAAGGCACCTTCACTTTTTCAACCATTACCTCCCAGTCAATAAGGATTAGGTGATTTCTTCCATCTTCAGAAGAAATTTCAAATGAAATTGTCAACAATATTTTCAAAGTTTTTTCACAGTGTCATTAATTCTCATGTAAATCTTTAGAAAGTATGAGTAACAGTAGATTAACATACTATCTGCAGTGTCATACCAGGTCTGTGTATGCTAGTCTCAAACTGTCTGAGCAGGGAATCACATGTCACAACAATATGATTATATCATATATAGGTACTCTGGGTTTTTACCTCATCTCTTTTTCCCAGAGTGGTTCTTGGTTTGTTTGATCCACTGGGGCCGGTATATTTTCCATTTTGTTCCATGAAGCCAGAATTGGCATGCTCAGGTAGTCATGAACTCTCTCCAAAAGCAGCAGCTGAATATCAATAGTTGAATTCCAGTATTATCAAATGCCTTTTGAACTTGTTTCTTTGGGCTACATATTGTACTTCCACCAGCCTTCTTTTTTTATGTTTTCTGGTATTTTCCTTCTCTGCCTTTCCTGTGAAATTTTACATCTCCTGGCCAAGAATTTATCACTTTCCATGATGTGTTTTAATTAAAAATTAAGACCTTTTACTTTTTTCCTCTAGCAAGGACACAAGTTAGTACTTCCAGAATATGTCATCTTGAATTTCTTCAAACAGTACATACCTTGTAGATCATCACTAATCTTCCTTTGTTTTCCACGTTGATTGATAATTGGCAATTCCTTGCATAATTCCACATAAAACTCCCCAATTTGCTAATTCAGGGATCTTACTCTCTGGGGAACTGGTTTCCTTATATGTCCTTTGAAACGTCTTCAACTAGGTCAGCAGCAAGTAATCTCGTCACACACAGCCAGCAGCAGCAATCAGTCAGCCATTGTAGAGAAAAAGGAAGATGTATACATGCAAGCCCCTTTTGCCTAGGCAATGGAGCCTACGTATGTCCATCAAGTTCACCTTCCTTGCTCAATAGAGTATAGTCTCTATTTCTTTGGTTCTTCAACTTTCTTCTTCCACTTGCCCTCTTTCCTTTGACTTGAACGCCTACCTAAAACTCTCTCTTTTTTTTTCTCTGCTTTTACCTACACTCGGTGACTTAAAGACATTATCTTCTTCAACGTGGTAGGAAACAATTATTTTTTTAATTTAAATAGCTATATAATCCAAAAGAACAATAGCATCTTTGAAACTAGATTTGTTTTAAAAATCTGAAAAGGGATGTAATATTTTAGCAAAGCCCCAGGATTGCCCTTGCATACATTTCCTAAAGTCTAGGCATGAGAAAATGCTAGCACCTTACTCTCGTTCATGTGTTACATGTATTGTATAACACAGAAACACATAAAGTCCGGATTGTCTTGCTCAGCTTTTTATTTGAACATCTACCGCAAGTTAATCATATAACAATAGAATGTACGAATTCCTTGACAAAACGCTCAAATGAGAGGGAATAGTTGATATTGTTTCACTGGAGTCTAAGATTATATCATATATAGGTACTCTGGTTTTTACCTCATCTGAATTCAACATGCAAAGCATGCTTTTTAATTAATAGATGTCATTGCACATATTTGTTCCACAGAATCAGACCAACAGAATCAGTATACTGAGAACACTTCCATCTTTGTAGAAGTCTACTCTTTTAAATGAATGGATGTTTACACAAATGCTTCAAAGGAAACCAAGTGCTTTAGCTCACTTCTGCAAATATGTGGAGTGCAAATATCAAGTAATAATTCTGGATGCTCTAAGATTTTCCTCATATTATTTAGAAACAAATATTCCAACCTACCCAAACCTGCCAACATTCCCTCTGCCTACTTAGAAAAAATAAGCAACACTCAAGAAAGCTTGATACATTAAAAAATAGAGAAAAACTGCAAAATTGTGGGAGTCAAATTTATAACAAGATATATTGCTGTTAAGAATCAACAGACAAAATAGAAATGCATGTTCATGCCTTACTACTACCAGAGTAGTTGAAACTTGTACATGCATAATAACAGAAACACAGTGTTGTTACAAAGGGCTAGCAGTCACTGCATTTCAAAATATCAGTTTGATACCTTCTTCTGCATACAGTTTCTATTCATTTTCTTCAATAAATTCAATAGGAATTTGATGATTTTCAAGGTTCTGTTAGAGAAAAATGTGATGGTGTGTCTGTGTATGTTTTGCTATTTAGTTAAATACCATGGATTGGTATTTATATTACATTAAATTAAATCCAAATTACAAGGGAGAGAAATTGTTCTGGACCATTTCATTTGAATTACTTAATTTTTTCCCCCATAGCATCTCACATATTGGAAGAACATTATAACAGGATTATGCTTTCAGAACAAAAGCATGGAAACAAGCCACAGCTGAGAATTCTTAGATAGTATTATCTGTTTAGCAATAGCAAGCAATAGGACTTAGACATATATTGCTTTACAGTGCTTTACAGTCCTCTCTGAGCGGTTTACAGAGTCAGCATATTGACCCCAACAATTTGGGTCCTCATTTTACCCATCCTGGAAGGATGGAAGGCTGAATGAACCTTGAGTCTCGTGAGATTTGAACTGCCAAATTGCAGGCAGCCAGCAGTCAGCAGAAGTAGCCTGCAGTATTGCACTCTAACACTTCGCCACCGTGGCTCAATAAAAATCACATAATGAGACCACATCAAAAAATAAAAATAAAAATTTAAGATATATATATAATTAAAAAGTGAATTAAAATGAACATTCCATTTTGTTGGTGCTCTATTTATGCTTATTATTTCTTACATAACATTTAATAATCCTCTTTGGCCTTCTGAAACTTTCTGTGCCCTAAAGAAAATTAAGAGACATTTAAACTTACCCCCTTTTCAATGCTCCCAGTTTGGCAAAGAGTACCTTCAGCTGCTGGAATACTGTTGGTAACACAGCGATTACTTTTGCTGAGACACCAAAGCTCTCTACACACTTCCTGGGAAAGAAGGCAGAAGCAAGTTGTTCAGAATAACTGAATAATAATGCTCCTTAAAATATATTTGTGTTGAAAGTCCAAGATAGTGTTCTAGATGCATATAAAAAAGAAAAGAAAAACAAATTGAAATGAATTTTAGAATATTTATTAGAATGGAATAACTCACATTTTAAAAAACCAAATTATATTTTTTCTGAATTCTCACATAATAAAATTGTGGAATTGTTCCCTATAACCCTCATTAGTAGCGCTATACATTTCTTTTTAGCCATGTGCAGAAAATCCTCCACAGAATAATCTCACAGTGTAAATGTTTCATTCATCACACACAAATCCCAAAATTGGTTGTGTGATTTGGCCCTGGATCCACAATATTCTACAAACAAATGTAATATTATGAACATAAATCTTCAAGTTTATACAAAAATAACTTTTCTTCTAGGAGATTATTTGCATGATTCACCATCACTTGTAGGAACAGGAAACTTCCAGGACTAGAATAATTGGATTGAATATTGCTTTGTCAGATAATAACTTTTTTTTTTATTATTATATTAGATGTAGAAACCACAAATACTTTCTTAGCCAGGCAGAACCACTTCATCTCTTCTCTAAAGGTGAAATTTAAATCAATCTTATTTGACTGAATAGGGATTATTTTAGCCTCACAAAATGAAGAACATTCTTTCATTCTTCTGGATACAAGTCTTCTTAATTCATCATCCCTAAGTATAATAGGATACTTGGGAAATCCAGCTCTGATAATAAAAGTGAAGTAATCCACATAACAGTTTTGAAGATAGGAAAGCATTCTGCAAGATTTGTATCTGGTCAGAATCATTCCTACTGACCATTTCCTGCAGATTTTCCCAAACAAATTTAAAAGTACTTCAGAATCTTGGTGCACTAGTAAATTTGAAAAAAAAAAGCCATTTTCTATTGTGGAGGTTCACTATTTATTATTTCATTTCCAGTAGTAAAGCTTTTCGGTAAAAACTACCGTTGAGGCCTTTTTTGCATGATGAGTGAAACTGGAATAGCAACTCTTCTATTCATTTCAATCCTAATTTAGTCACACAGAATTCAAAAGGTATTGAGTAATATACAACAACATCAAGGGTTCCTAACTAAGGTTACCATGTTACAATTGTTTGATCCTCTCCCAAGCTGGCACCTCCTCTATGATGGCATAAAGTGGTGGTGACAATTTCTGGGAAAGTACCATTTAGCTATTGTATAGAAAGGCCACCCAGGAGATTGGCTGCCTCTTCTTGCCCAAGGCAATCTCCAGAAAAGATAAATGAAGCAAGATATGATGAAGGAGAGGAGGTTGGAGTGGGAAATAGGCCTGTGGTCTGCATGGAACCTGCGGATTAGGCATCGGTCCAAGGATTCCAGCAGAGTTAGAAGAAGGGGAAGGTGAGGAGAGTTGTTACAGCATCCTTGCAATTAGCCATAAGAGCTGGGGGATTGCCAAGTGCCTGGATTTTGTTCACATGGCTGCAGGGTGCTGCAGTGGCCATAACTTCAAATACAGATCATAATTCCCTTTTTTCAGTGCCACTCTAACTTTGAACAGTCACTGTATGAACTATTAGCAATAGCACTTAGACTTATATACTGCTTTACAGTGCTTTATACCCCTCTCTAAGTAGTATACAGAGTCAGCATATTGCCCCCAACAATTGGGTCCTCATTTTTACCCATCTTGGAAGGATGGAAGACTGAGTCAACCTTGAGCCTGGTAAGATTTGAACTGCCAAATTGCAAGCAGCTAGCAGTCAGTAGAAGTAGCCTATTATTGACTATTGTAAATTAAGGACAACTGAACATACTTTTCAGCTTGCTTAATATCATATTGATAATTTATTCATGAAATTCAGCATGATGCTCTAGATTTATTTAAAACACTCTACTGAATATTTTATTCAGTGCAAATAAAAGAGGTAATAATGATTAATGAAAGCATACTTCTTCACTGTATAATTTGTGTCATTAAAAGGAAAACGGGGATATCATTATGCCCTGACTCTCAAGCTAGTACTATCACTGATATCACTTTTTGATAACGTGACTGAGGAGAGAGTACAATGTGTCGTTAGCACTCATAATGTAAATATATATGGTAACCTACCACATAATATACAATTGCTGATAATTATTACACCAATGTTGTATGGCCTTATGACTAAGACTATTAATTTGCAGAAAGTGATAAATTAGTGCAGTATTCCCAATTAATTAACAGCACAATCTAATTCAAGCTAAGTTAAATCTTGCATTTCCTACCAATGTACTCAATTCAAAGGGCAACACTATCGTCAAGACAAGTGAAGTTCAAAGGATAAAGTAGAAACATGGTCAGTATGAAACAACAGATTAAGGATTCCAGCAGTCAAGTGCAATACAGTTTGACGCTCATGAGGCTTTAATGGAAAGCTTTTTTCCTGCACTTAATAGCATTTGAATGACATCTTAAATGGACATGATCTCAGCTTTTGACCAAGCATAGACAGTGTCTTATCAGCCCTAATTACTGAGACTGAAACTTCAAGATTACATATCCCTATGAGATTATCCTTGCAGATAGTGGATTTTTCCTTTCTGTGTTCTTGCCTCCTATCTGAACTCAGTTATGTTTTTATAGGATAGATGGTTCAGTATCACAATCAAAGTCAGAATTTATGGGAATTGGGAATGAAGTAATGCTATCTGAATAAGTCTTTCAATGGTGTCAAGATTCGTTCCATTTCTATTAGCGTGCTATTAACAGTGATCATGCAGCAGATATTGGTTGTATCAGTTTGAAACTACAATATTATAGAAGTCCTTCTCTATTCATTTTTTACATTCTTTTTGACAGCATATGCTAAATCATTACATAATATTCCAAAAATTGGTCCTATATCAGATATTTAAACTATCACTATAGAAATAAGTTATAATATTTGATGGATATGACATGGTTAACCTGAAAAACAAAAATTGTATACAATACACATTGAAGGTACTAAGAATTGCAGAAAATGATATATTTAATGACATTGCCATTTTGGTTTTTTTATTTGTATTAGAAACAAGATAACTTCTGGCAAATCATCCACCCATCTATATTTCTGCTTATGCACTCAAAATATTTTCTAAATCATCATATAATCTGGTGCATCAGAAAATAAGCAGATAATTGGGAAAGACACTCAATTTATTAACATTTTTGCTGCTCTTGCAGATATTAGTCAATATATTTCTTTGTTATTTATGCACAGGACATTAGCTGAATATTATGCATATTTATTCATATGACAATAATTATTTTAAAACAGTAGCTAATTGAATGCAAATATGTATAAAATAAGTTTAATTACTTTACAACAGTTTGATGTAGTGGTTAAGACATCAGATTGGAAACCAGGAGACCACGAGTTCTAGTCCCACCTTAGGCATAAAGCCAGCTGGGATATCCTAGGGCCAGTTATTTTCTCTCAATCCTAGGAAGGAGGCAATGGAAAACTATTTCTGAAACTTCATGCCAAGGAAACTGTGTGGACTTATCCATCTCTGAGAATCGAACAAGATTGAACAGAAGAAGAAAAAAATCTATATCTACTGTTCCAAAACAAAAAAATCCTCAGTTTTCTATCTCATCTATCCAGCAAAATGGATGAGATTTTAGCCTGCATGGGGCAGAATGGAGCTGCATCCTGCTTCATCTGAATGATTGAGGTTTTCCCAAATAGCTTAACTTGCAAGTTAGATAGCACAGACTGAATCTTTTCACTAAAAGCCTTCATTTCTCATTTATTTCTATCTTGCCTCTTGCAGTCGCTTGCATTTGCAAATTGGTCTGTGAAGATGCCTATAACTGCAAATGAAGAAATTCACTATATTCTATAATAATGTTTCTTGTTCTTTTATGACTGCAAAAGCAGAATTTGTAATAAATAAAAGATATAAAAAGAAATATTTTAGAATATTTCAGATGAAAATACTAAAGAATTTCTGTTGAAAAAAGCTGATATTTGGTATCAAAATATTGAGAACTATGGTACATGTTCAACTAGGCAATACTGAGTACAATAAGCAAGATTGGTTAACTTATTATATTAAAATAGTGTTTGCTCATAAAAGCATCTATGTAACTTGTAAGACTTTAATTGTCAAATGTTAACATCCAATTATATTTCTTGCATTGTCTGAAATATAATATTTGATTAAAAAGACCAATAATTACAGTTATTTCATTTTTCCAGTTGTCTTACTACTGGCTATGTTTTAGTATAATCAGACTTGACTGAACTCAGAAGTGGGAAAAGTGGCTGCAGATACCAAAATATGAATTGTTGAAATAGAATTTGGTTAAAATAATTACTTTCTGATTCAAATCAGTGCTATTATTTCTCAGGATGGTGGTCCTTGGTAAAATAGAATAGATGAGATGTTTAATAATCTATTTGGGAAGTCAATCAGATTTTAAAACATCTATCACGTGTTTTTTTTACTACTCTAGTATTAGTTTAATTTGCACATAAGAAGATTGATTACATTATATTGTTATATTAAATAAAGGGGACTTTATTTAAGGACACAAGAAAAGATAATTCTTGCTATGACATATTTTAGCTTTTAAATCCAAATACGTAAATAATACTACAAATATCCTAAAAATTCAATTCAATTGAAATCAATTTTAAATATTACATTTACTCCATTTTGATATCTGATTTGAGAAAAACAAAAAGTTTTAAAATTTATATTTACATTAACTGATAAAAGTAAACATTAAAATAGTTATTATTAGATGCAACTTTTAATATTTTTGTATTTTCTTTAATTGGTAAGAGAAATACAGGATAATCAAGTATCTGCATTGTATGAGATAATAAAGCATTACCTGTTTTTATTTATTTTAGCTATTATAATTTTTAACAATTAAATTGCTGATTTACATACATGTAAGATACAATTCTAACTTCAAGTAACTTCAAGTGGTCATTAAGTGA